ATAGAAGAAATTTCCACCTTGGAACACACCTTAGAAAGTGTTTTTGTTGATATGATTTTTCTAAATAAATTTCTCTTGCCTTTGTATTATCATCCTTGTTCATTGGTCACTCTGGACCCCTTGCAAAGTTTCGCTATTGCGTGCCAAAAGGACAAAAATAGAACCTTGGAATAGTGTCGTCAACAGAATGTATTTCGTTTTATTCTAATAATTCAATCCTGGATCATGTAGAAATGCCACCAAGAACCATAAACATTAAACTAACCATTTCTTGTTGAGAGAGCTAGCTTTGTTGATATTTGTGACTTTGGTACTTCATTAAATACTTCAGCTGGCAATGCATGCTTCTTTCTGTGGAATGGTGCACTTGGTGCAGCTCATCCCAAAGAACACCACCTTGATACAGGTTGATCATCTGTTAGCTGTAGTAGCTCCCTTTCCTGATATAAAATATTCTGGCTGCTTGTGAGTTTCGAAATGCCCTCAGGGAGACGCTTGATGCCGCAAGTCTTCTGGGCTGGCTGGCTCCACTTTTATCGTATGGACATGGACGAAGGTGGCATCAGTATGACGTTCACAGAAGAGATTTCCAAAGGCAGCTACATCACCATTTCGCTTTTAGAGACACATAGCCAATGCTTAGTGGTCAAAATAAGTGACTAACCTTGAAACTATATCCCTTGGTTTTCCCTGACCCGAGCCCGGAGAAAGGATGAAAGGATCAGGCTACGCAACCGCAATTAGAAAATCGTAGCCCCGAGATTGTTTTGTTTCGTGTTTCCTTCTGCACATTCTGCGCCGCCTAATTTCTATGTGATTTTCCAAAAAAAATTATTATCTTTCTGGCCCTAGGAATTCCATTTTGATATCACTTCTGGTTTCGCCAAGATTCGAACAGGAAATGAAAGGAACTTTATGCAATAACCAGCAAAACCATTGCCCCGTTTGGCAAAGTCAAGCATATGATAATAACAGTTATTTCAAGTCATGAGGACCCACGAAGGGCATCAGACCATCCTATCTACTGTTTGGTGGGACGTGTATCAAGGATGGCAAATAGCTCATCGCAAAGGTTTATGGTGGCAGTGAGGTACTCACAAAGTCGCTGGCGTTGCCGTTGCTAGCGATATGTATAACGTCTCGCTGTATTGGCTAGGGTTGGGAATTCTCTCGGCCGCTTTAGCCGATGCTAAGTAAAAGCTTGAAAAAAAAGAGCGAGCTCCAACATTGGTGTTAACAGAATTGGAGGTGCTGCTGCTCAACGCGCTGGGGGCGGACCTCTGTTTCTTCTTACTTGGTATCTTCTTTTGAACAAGGGATCTTGAGTTGTCTGGTTTTTTGGATTTTGTGGAGTGGCTTCTTTTTCTGTATAGGACCTCGTGAACTTGCACAAACGTGCGAAAGATCAAGGATCCTTGCTGCTGGTCTGGATCGGTAGCTCGAAAGAGTGGATCCACCGCGACCTTGTTTCCCCATATGGTGAGCACTAGCGAGAAGAGCTGAAGGTGGCAGAACCTTCTTTCTGCTGGCATTCAGCTGCGATTCAAGGAATTCTCCAACTCCCACTGTATCCAGATGGCCAGGATTAGCCGCGAGCAAACCCGAAGTTGGAAGAATTATGAAATATATTGTAAGAATGCTGCGCTTGTTCCAGAGCTTGAAGAGCTAATCTCCCTCGCTAGAATCTCTTGCATGATGCTCGAGACGTTGCTGCCACTCTCGCCATTGCCGCCGCCCACACCGCTCCTCTGCTTGAGCTTCGCAGCCAGCAGACTCGCACTCACCACCTCCCTCGAGCCTGCTGCGCTGCTGCTGCCCTGACAGCAGCCCCGGCCGCAGTGGCTCAAATCCCCTCGGAACTATACTGGAGATGTAGCACTGGACAGCCGCTCTTCCTCAGCTTCTCCGCGTGAGTTCCATTGCTGGATGCCACGAAAAAGTGATCCCCTGAAGGAGATGAAGCCGTTGCCATCTTGGCATTAAACATGGCCACCTCTTCCAGCCCTTCGGTGTCTCCAGTTAGCAAGGGTGCCGGTCGGAAATAAATTCTTCCGACAACATGTTTGTGGTTGGCTGGATTGCGCGTTGCATATGGTGCCTTTCCATTGAATGCGGTGTGCCCAGTCAAAGTCCGAAGAATGATGAGGTTGTCGTAGTCCTGAACCTTTCATCCGGGAAGGTTGGTCTGCAAATTCAATATATGCTTCATCCAGAACGACGAGAAGTGGTAGAGCAAGAACGGCCATGAGATCCTCATCGGTTATTAAACTGAAAAAACAGGAGCAAAAACATATGCTTGACATACAAGATTTTCTTACTTACCTTGAAGTTACCTCCCATCTGGATTGTTTGGCGATGTCAAAAGATCATCTTTGGAGAGTGCTCCTTCAGCACGATACCAGGAATTAGTAAAGAACAGACCAAAGAAAATTGAATCACAAACAAGACCTTTGATGACGCTTACAGCGGCATCAAACGCATACATTGTCAAAGTGGGAGGACAATCCACAATCTTGTCACCACCTTCCAATGTACAACTAAAGAGATGAAGAACCATCTCGTGAAGAGCAAAAGAAGAAAAAAGAAAAAACACGCTAGGAGTTGGTCACTTACCACATGATCAAATCGATGAGCTCGTCGGCACCGCAGCCAGCAAGAATGTAATCCATAGACGGTCCCGAGGCTTCTGAAAGAGCTGCTCGAAGCCGCCTGCTCTCTGGATCTAAATGTTTGGAAAGTCCATTCCTCCCAAGGATCAAACAAACAAGGAATCTACATACTTCTGGTGGAGGCCCGTAGAGGTTCTCGTTGGCATCCAGCTTCACGATCTCTTTTGGAGACCTTCCAAGCTTGGCCATTCACAGGAGAGGAGAATTCGGGACACAAGAGGAAAAATCTTACCTCCAACGGCTCGATCGTCTTGGAAGGCGCCAAACCCAGCAAGTGCTTCCAGATGAAGGCTGGATCCAATAATGTATTAAAAAATTCCAATAATTTGCAGTTTAATATTTAGAAATAGAAACCAAATATTGACAATTTCTTTCAGAATATTCCAAACACACAAAGCAAATTACTCGGTTTTTTGGGGATGAACAATTGACGAAGGATACAAGATCTCTTTCGCGCCGGGAACGTCCATGATCAGCTTGGCAGCAGGAACTTGAGTGCCAGGAGCCGGAGACACGAAGAGCAATCGATACGTCCACTCGATGAGCTCAGGAGCAAAGATTCTGTAGAGCAGCGTCACTCCATACCAGGAAGGCACACGGACGTAGCGAGCGCCACGGACTGTCCCCGAGAAGATTGCCTTGGCACACTCTTCGGCATAAGTGACTGGAACAGGTCCCACGGTGACCTGCGAGGAAAGGAAGTTGTAGATGTGGAACTAAGTCAGAACTCCAGTTTGGTTCACTTACGTCTCTCAGGTCAGGCATTGTTACGTGCTCCCCTTCGGCAGAGATAAACTTGCCTCGAGTGATCTCGCTCTCGACCCATCCAGGGGTTGCTATTGTGATACCAACGCTGTTTCCAACCTCGACACGCAGCGTGTCAAACAGATTCAGCAGCGCAGCTTCGGCGGCCTGGAGTTGTTTGTTAAGCCTCTTTAAGTAATATATAAGTTGGAACGCAAAGCTTACATTGTAGATGGCCAAGCGTGGCATTGGTAACCAAGCTGATACCGAAGAATTCACCACAACTTTACCTCCCGAGCGTTTGAGGTGAGGGAGAGCGTAGTAAGTAGGATAAACTGACCCCCAAAATGTGACATCCTAAACCAACAACATTAAGCGACTTAAAAGCGAAATCCATACTTTACCATTATCGACTGAAAGCTGGACACATCAACAGCCTCCTCGAACAGATAGCTGTGCATGATCCCAGCGTTGTTTACTAGATGATCCACTACAGAAAGAAAATTCAGAGCAAAATAGGAAGTTCCCGATACTACAAACTTACAGCGTCCAAACTGATGAACTGTCTCTTCAACAAACCGCTTGCATTCTTCCTCGTGCCCGAGATCAGCAGTCACGATTCGAACATCCATAGCACCGATCCTCTGACATTTACCAGCCACATCTCTAAGCAAGCCCTCTTGATTTCCGACCAGTATCAGCTTAGCTCCATGGGAGGCATACTCATAGCTTAGTTTCTGCACAACTCCAGTAGTGAATTAAAACCATAGAAAAGAAGCAGCTTACCTCCCCAATTCCCGATGTTGCTCCCGTGACAACCACAACCTTACCTCGGACATTCTCTCTGAAAACGAAGCTTAGAAACCAGTGGCAAGCATTCATAAAAGTCAGAGGAGGCCATGCGAGCGCTAGGAAGAAGAGTCCCATCGGTGGAACCACCAGGTTAAGAAAAAACTGCACCAAATCCATCCCTACCTACGGATGAAACTACAAAACAGATCGATAGCTTCGACCCCCTCCCGCGTGATCTGACAATCCCTGGTAGATATATAATCCTCTCCGCATGCATGCACAATCTAGCATTTGGACACCTGTTGAGAATTTCTATCTGCGTCAGGTAGAGAATCAAAAGCGTACCAAAGAGTTTGTCGCTCACAGAAATTGGGTGTTTCTAACGATAGTTCGGCTCCACACCGGCAAAAATCCGATCCAAGTGCCGCTTTAGAGGCTCCTCAGCAAAGATAAATCTCGTGGCATTCTTTGCCAGCTCGAATAAATCGTGTTCCGATAGATCTGGAGAATTGTTAGTGAAACATTATTGACATACATCTGACGAGCAGTTACCGAAGCTGGTTGCTGCAATGGCGTACTCAGAGGAGAGGTTGGTGGAAAATACCCCTCGATCGTCAGTGCAGATGACCAAAGGGTAGTGAGTTTTGTAAAGCCATGCTGATAGATAAAGATCACATGAGAAAATTTAAATGGGGTGGACATAACAAACCGAAATGGTGGTCACAGATGGATTTCACGCACCCGGTACGAAGGTTTGAAGTGAAACAGACTTCTACCTGCAAAATATAAAAACTTTAAATGCTCAACAAAAAAATAAAGATGAAGGAGACCGGAATTCGCAGATTGTGCAGCCGTTCCCATTGAGATTCTTGAAGAACACATGCATGTCCTAGTCTGTCAGGATGAAAGGCCAGCATTTCTTCTACCTCATCTGGATTGTGCACCTGCAGAGTTGATACCGATGAGAATTATAACATAGACATTAGAACAACGTACCTCTCCGCAATGCAACGTAACTGGGAGGCCGCACTGCCTAGCATATGTCAATGCAGGCAAGAACGTCTTCCTACAAGGTAATAACAAGTGAGCTAAGACTTGAGAAACTAAATCTATACCAGTTTCCGGTGACAGGATTCCCAGAAAGATCTATGCCGACAACCCCGTGGCTTTTCATTTCCAGCGCAAGCTTCACCTACAGCTAAGACGTGAATAAAATGAAAGGAAAGAAAAAGGAGACAGCTTACTTAGTTAACAGCTTACAGTTTCAATGGCCTGGTCCGTGGTCTCTCGACGATCGATGCTTAATAGAAGCCGTACTTGAATTCCATGAGCATGAAGCTGATGGTTCTCACAAAGAACCAGATTGGCTTTGGTGATTCCCGCAAGAACGGCTTCGACGTAGGAGCGTTTTGTCATCCCTGTCAACACATTGCTCTGCAAGCTTGACTGAATTAAAAGCTAAAGTTGAAAAGAAGTTATCACAGAGCGTCACAAACCTTTGGTGTCGTACGCAGCTCCAGGTAAACAACGTTCTCGGCAGCAAAATCCTCTATCACCTGCGTTTCATGGCTTGAGTTTCTCTTTCCGCTTAAACAACGAAAGAAAAAAGAAAGAGGAAAAGATCTTACGGACCTCTTTCGTGATTCGCGTGATAAATGAATGGTCCGTGGTAAGAACGTGAATAACGTCGAAAAGCTTGAAGCATTCTTGTAGTGATCGGTCTTCTGCAACAGGCACCAAAGAAATGAGCCCAAACAAAAGAGACAAGAGTCTGGAAACCTTTGAGTATGATTTCCCGGACATTTGGATAAGAAGAGATGGTTCCACGCTGGTCATGCTCTTGAGCCAGCTCCCTACACACCGGAGTTACACATTTCGTCCCAAAAAAAAAGAGAAATCTCACAGTAGTGTGGAATCCCTGATGCTGCCATTGAGATGCGCGTGGAGCTCAATCTTGGGCAGCCTCTTGCAATACCTCACAAGAATCTCGCGAGCTCGATGCTGCGCTTGATTGCTAGACATTGCTTCTTCGCGTTTGCTAGGGCAAATGTCTACTAGTATTATATTATTTATAATCTATATACCAATCACGAGAGTATATTCATATCAAAAGCTTCTCTCTTGATTGCCATTATAATCTCTTTAGATCTAACCACTCACACTTATGAGTAAGAACTCTAGATCTGTGAGCTTGCACTCCAAATTCGTACTAGCATGAACTCTTATCCATCCTAGGGATCCCTTGCTGCTAGAACCCTCAATCTTGCTTGTTTTGCAAGAAAACTCTACAAATTCAAAAGAAAAAAATGAAATAAGTGAGCTATTGCACTCTAAATTCTTATGAGGAGAAGCTCTAATGGTCCTAGAGCCTCTCCACACACAGGACTCTATCTCTCAAGAATCCTTGCAAGAAGGCTAGGCTCACTTGAAAATGCCAGGTTCACCACCCTCAAAGCTCAACCACTCATGCTCAAGACTATGATGAGAGAATAATATAGGGATCTAGAATATTCTACTGTGATAAAGAAGGAAATAGATTATTAATTCGATATGCCTTTTTTTTCTACTTTAAGGAGAGGAAGGGTGTAAAGAATATACTTAAGTATATTCTAGACATTCTCTATGAACCAATGCTTAACTTTTATATTAATACAAAAAAAAAAATGTAAGTGTAAACAAAAGCATAACAACCACCACAGTACTTTAGATTTGTGGGATTCCATGTTGCTGGTGATGAGGAAAGGATCCAGTGATCATTCCACTCCTCCACCCTAGCTTTATGCCAATCCTAACTTTGTTGCCAGCAACACGTGATCCTAGAGCTTGCATTCCCTAACAATCATTCCACTTTGCCAACATGCCTCAGTTGCCCTCCATGCAAGCTCAGTTGTTGAAACGTCTTAGCCCGGTGCAATAAGGGATGTAGAAGGCCTTAGATCTTCTATATGGTACTTTGTAGGTTGGCTCCATGCTTGAAACTGAAATGTTTTTTGTCTCAATTCATGATTTCCAGAATTATATGTATTCGAGGGGATTGTTGAGGCCCTGGCTATGGAGAAAGTTTTGGGTCTCAACATGATACAACACAGTACAATACAAATGCATAATTGTCCAAGAAATTTGTCATCAAGGGAGGCTTCACCAAAATCCAACATGCAAATTGCATGGCCAGCAGGAAGAGTCCAACAAACAAGCTGTGTTTGATTCCCTGGAGTTACCTTATTGGATTCTAGCTGGGGTGCCTTATGTCAGTGGTCAACTTATCCAGTCATTGTAATGCTAGAAGCATAAGACTTTTCTTATGGCTGGATTTCTAGCCACAATTTGAATCAAGAATTGTTTGTCAATTACAAATTGTTTGTCACATTGTAGATTAGGGAGTTAGCAAGAAATTCAGTTTTTTGCTCTATCATTTTCTTTACCAGAAGCTTGTATAACACGATTAACAAATTCAGCAATAATATACAAATCAAAACAAGATAATGGACACAAAATATAAATTACATAAAAACATTAGTATACTTTTTAAAAATCCATTTTAGTAATTTTTATTTATATTATAAATTAATCATTACTGCTAAAAAATTATTCTTCAAAAGACCGAGCAAAATCGACACTCTTTTGCTCCTTGGCTAGCCAATGTAATTAGAAGTGTATAAATTTAACAAAAATCAAGAGAACATTAACCTCTTACACTCCATGATATGAGTGTTTTGGAGGTCACAAAAATATTAAGCAAATGCTTTCAGAGCATTCATGAGAACGTCCGTGTGCTCTGGCTTTCCAACCGAGATTCGGATGTAGTTCCTGAGCTCCGCGTTATCATAATGGCGAACCATCACTCCCATTTTTGCTAATCCATCCTGCACTTACAATACTGAGCCAAATGCTTTCTTTTTCATTTTGGAAATACTGTCTACCTTGAGCTCCTTGGCGCTGCGGTTGCCAGAGACGGAACAAAGAATAAAATTGGAGCAGCTTGGATATGGTGACAAGTATTGCACTGTCTGGAGGAGCTCAAACAGCCTGTCTCTCTCCTGTATCAGAGATCTCTTCACCTCCTGGAGTAAACAAGCTTGAGAATCGTAAAAACAGATAAAACTAGAGCATGGAGATCATACCTCGAGGTAAGAGGAATTTTTTAGAGCAGCACAGGCAGCTACTTCTGCCGCGGCGGACACGTTATACGGTTGTTTTGCTCTCCATAAGTAATGGATGAGATTCAATGGAAAGGCACCATATCCAACGCGCAATCCAGCCAGTCCTGAAAAACCAGAAACATTTTGTCGGGAGATTTTATTTCCGGGTTACTTACCGGCACGCTTGCTAAAAGTCCGAAGAATGATGAGGTTGTCGTAGTCCTGAACCCATTTCATCCGGGAAGGTTGGTCTGCAAATTCAATATATGCTTCATCTAGAACAACGAGAAGTGGTAGAGCAAGAACGGCCATGAGATCCTCATCGGTTATTAAACTGAAAAAAAAAAGAGCCAAAACATGTACTTGACATACAAGATTTTCTTACTTACCTCCCATCTGGATTGTTTGGCGATGTCAAAAAGATCAGCTTTGGAGAGTGCTTCTTCACTGCCTGCACGATACCAGGAACATCGATGCGGAAGTCATGAAACCTCGGAACTATAGAAGCTTTAGCAAAGAACAGACTAAAGAAACTTGAATCGCAAACAAGACCTTTGATGACGCTTGCTCCGTTGACAGCGGCATCAAACGCATACATTGTGAAAGTGGGAGGACAATCCACAATCTTGTCACCAACTTCCAATGTACAACTAAAGAGATGAAGAACCATCTCGTGAAGAGCAAAAGGAAAAGAAAAAAAAAAAAAACGCAAGGAGTCGGTCACTTACCGCATGATCAAATCGATGAGCTCGTCGGCACCGCAGCCAGCAAGAATGTAATCCATAGACAGTCCCGAGTCTTCTGAAAGAGCTGCTCGAAGCCGCCTGCTCTCTGGATCTGGATAAATGTTTGGAAAGTCCATTCCTCCCAAGGATTCCATCACCTGTGTCAAACAAACAAGGACTAGAAAAAGAAGAAGAGGGAAAAAATTCCAAAGCTCTCAAACCTACATACTTCTGGTGGAGGCCCGTAGAGGTTCTCGTTGGCATCCAGCTTCACGATCTCTTTTGGAGACCTTCCAAGCTTGGCAGACAGCACCTACATTCACAGGAGAGGAGAATTCGGGACACAAGAGGAAGAATCATACCTCGAACGGCTCGATCGGCTTGTAAGGCGCCAAATCCAGCAAGTGCTTCCGGATGAAACCGCATCCCGCCGCTGGTGTGGCCGGCGCCATCGACAATGGGATGCTTGGCCCGCTGCAAGCGATTCTCGCCAGCATTCTTCCTTAAACCCTAAATCACTCGCTTTCCATTTTATGTGGTCGTCCCAATATAAACATGCTCATAATTTAT